AATTGGCGTCACTGAAATTGCAATATAAGGGTCGTAACCGCAACACCGCAGTTTGTAATATAATAATAACATTGAGTATATCAATAATTCAATTGAATATAAATCTATCTGAAGCTTACGCCCATTAATCCTCATATCAGCCAATCCGCAGTATATATTTCCGCATAATAACCGGCATTATCAACAAAATCTAATATTGAAAACGTTAATACACACGTCTACTTCACCACGGGGGAGCAAATTAAATTGTCAATGCAGCTTTTCAATTCCGATCGATCGACGTGGCGGGCTAGACGCGCGTCAGTGCCGCGCGCTATTTCGGGAACCAACCCCCTTCGTTAACATTTAACTCGTTCGGCCAGCCTCGGGTTCGGCTCGATCTCCGGAGGATACGGCAACTACCTTAAATATCAATCTCGCTCGTCGGTTATAGCGCGTCTAGCCTCGCTCGATGTCACTCGGGGGATGAATTATCAAAATTTCCGCAATAAGTTCCGCAGCTGAGCACTGGATGACCTGAGCGACAGGGTACACCGTGACACGCATAAGAAACGAGGACGCTCCCACAATCCACGCACGATTCTAGCTTACTTGTGAAACTATTTTATTTGTCGTCCATTTATGTACCATTACGTCATAGTGTTATATCCTGAATTATTGAGTTCAATTTGCCGAGGGTTGCTCCAACTGGAACTGAATTTTTGATTGTGACGCATTGAAAAATGGCTTTTCAGTTTTAATTGATTTATTTTCCCGATTGTATAAAAAAAGCAATTTGCGTTTTCGCAACAATGTCCCGCGTGCGGCCTATTACGACAAATGCGCCTATTATCATCCGGCACGGATATACGGCATTTCGTTGGTCCGCGTGGTTTTCGTTAAACCATTCGATACAACACGACGCACGTTCGACGAGGTACTTTGATCAGAGATGGAAATGGACGTGGGATGTTTATGGTGCAAGCGTAATAAGACAAACGAAGTTACGGCCGCATTTGTAGTTTATTGATACTTCGTTGCCCGCGCATGCGGGCATTCCTCGGGGATTGAATTATCGATACACGTCGCCTGACACGTTGACTATCGGGAAGGTAACACCTCGTTCTCCGCTTTTCAATAAAGCGACTTTATCGGCCAGATAAATATTATTAGCCAATAAGCACATGTTCACGCTCGATACCTCGTCGCAGAGCGCGTGTACGGCGCTTCCGTTACTTGGTCTTGGAAAATCCTGATTGAAAGAACATCCCTTCATGTTTCAATAAAAAGAGAGTGTTCATCATTTTGATGTAAAAAAAAAGAAATACCTTAAAAATTAACAATATCATAATTTCGGAAATGTCATGCTATTTTCGCGATCCCTTTGTTTTATGCTACAAAAGCAATTCTACATTCGCCGTGAAATAAAAAGCATAATGTTACTACGTCTCATTATTCAGAAATTGGGGTTCGGGCCACGTACGCGCGAGCCTGTCCGTGTTAAATTTCATCGGCGTATCTGCCCGGGAATGAGAGAAGAGAAAGAGAGAGAGAGAGAGAGAGAGAGAGAGAGAGAGAAGCAGTCGGAGTTATGAATAAAATACCAGAAATGAAAATAAAACGGAGGCGAGTGACCCACATGACTGTCGCACATACGTGTATAAACGCGGCGCGCCGGCACGGCACTCATGCGAAAGGGCACGACTTATTCACCTCACCTAACGATAGTCCAGACACTCGCAATCCCGTTGGAGAAATCCTTGTTGTTTTTTTCTTTCGCACCCTCCTCCCCTGCACCTGCTCCGCTATCCTCATTCGACCCGTGCCTCGCGACTCGACGTTTCGTGCGCTAAGAAAAGGGCAAGAAAATAGGTCCCGCACCTCTCTCCGGAGTGCTATTCAGTACCGTAATTTATTCGAGTTTCACGCGGATCCCCTTTCGCAACTCCTCCCCTCGCCGCCCCTGCCGTCGTCCTTTTCACTTCTGCCGTTCTTTATCGGCCTGCTCCGCGCCCGTTAATCCGAGTTTACCTCCCTTTCTCGTTCTCTCCTTCTTCCGCCGACCACCCCCAACGACCACCCCGACGCTCTTTTCCCTCCGCCGCGAATGCCGTTCCTCGCGCGTGCTCTCTAATTTATCTTGTCAAGCTTTCATTTCATCCATTATGGACTTCTTTCAAGTTGCGAGTACTTGTTGCACAGGTACGATTGATATTATGAATTCCGCGTTACGCTCTAAAAGCATGCCGCCGAGAGGAAGTAGGTGTGCGCGAGGCTCTTTCAATGCGATATACCGCGCTCTCGTCACCGTCGTGGGGATTCAGCGACGGGTGGGGGAGGTGAGCGAGATCCGACGATCTCTTTCTTAGGCCACTTAGCGCGAGCGTGTAAATCTAAATCGATATTCCGACACCAGCCGGTACAGCGGGCGGCGCAATAACTCTCGGCTTCGCAATATCTCGGCGCCGCGCGTCGGCACGCTCTACGTGCCACCCGGGGAGAATAATATTGAAATCACGTCGTCGTCATCATCACCGTCGGGGTCGTTGGTGGTCGTCGCCGCCGCAAGTAGGCCAGCGGCTCGAAATAGAAACCGTCAACTAGGGCAGTCAATGCTCAACATATAAGACACCATTCGTCGCGGCACGTTTGCACAACTTTTCCGCACCGACACATCCACGTCTCCGCATTCTCTCCTTTTCCTTCCCTTTTCTTTTTATTTTCATCTTTCATCTTTCCTTCTCTTCTTTTCTTCTGCTTTTTTTGACCGTGAAGATTGCCGCTTGCCAAACGCAGGATATCGCCACGCGTTGCCCATGTGCCAAACACACTGGAGATCTACGTTTTCTCCAAAGCGATTTTCCGCTGCACCGAACCATCCGCCGATGACTGCCGGATTTATACGGGACCAAAACTTACGATTCCGTCGAGCGTCGTTCTACATCAACGGTTTACGTGCTCCGCGAACTGCATTCAATCGTGATCGTCGTTATCGCAGAACCCTTTGCGAATCGATCACGAAACGCAATCTGATCAATTTACGCCATTAGAACCTCGTTAGATTGACGATAATATTTCGTTGTGTTCTTCTTTCCTCTGGAAATTTATAATTTATTTTACACCTTCGCCGACGAGTAATAATTTTCCATTAGCGCGCTCAAGATCATTGAATAACGAGTTCTGTGTGCGTCATAATCGTTGCAATTTTCAATCATTAAACGCACGCAACGAAACCGGAATACGAGACACAGTTCACGAGTTGCGATTGAGGATCTAATTAAATCTGCGTTGCTGCCTTTACCGCATTAAACTTCGTAACTATGCGCGCAGCGACTTTATCTCACTGAATCTCCCGCGCATCGTTATACGGGTTAAATGTCTTGAAGCAAATGCATTAATATGAGCGATAACGCAGCGGATTTTAATGCAGCCGTTTACATGGGCCGTTTTAGCTCCGCAGGTTCGCTCAAATATACGTGCTTACCAGCAGTTTTAGCATCCGGCTTAACAGGACGTAATTTTCCGCAACGGCGGCGTAATGAGGCGTATATAAAACGACACTAACCCCGTACGCTCATCATATCGTTCGTACATTCTCTTTACGACGAGGCGACATCGCTAAACTCATACTGCTAAAAATAAACGATAATGCTCGGTCCCCTCGTAACCTAAATTGTGATTAGGGCTCGAAGAAATATTTAAAATTACGCTTTAGCGATCGCCTAAACCGAAGTTAATCTCAATGAAATTTATATCTTCGTTGAAGCTTTTTTATGGGTATTGAGTAATTTATTCGCATGGCTAAATTTATCTGCATGGCAATCTTTGCAAAGCATTTAGCTAGAACAATATCACGCCTTATTTCTTTATGTGTTTAAAACATATGGAAACTTATTTACACTTATTCATCCCTTGAAGTGCCGATGGTCATTAACATATATTTAAATATAAATATATATTTCAATGATATATTT